AGCCAGTATCATTTCATACCTCCAAATCCGACCATATCCACCCGAAAGCCTGCTTTTGCACAAGAAAGAGCATGATACTGCATACGAGGACTTCTGCCGATATCTCCGAGCACTAGGACACAAATTCTTGGCTTAGAACGGTCTTTTCGGCCCCTCAACCAATATGCTACAAGTACGATCACGACAGTAATACCCGTCAAAACCGTCGCTATATACATCTTAATTGATTACTGACAGGTTAGTCAATAGAAAAGAAACTGTTTCGTTCTTTTAAATAAATTGTGGTGACTAATTAGTGATCTTAATGGCTCACAACTTCATCGTTGAACGATCACTCATTGGTCGCGTCGTCTCCTTCTACAAATAGATACACGAACATTTCTGGTCAGCAGACACTCATCAAAGGGTGGAAAACCAAGGGGCCATGGGATAGCATAACCCATAATCATTCTTGCTCACAAACCCAACATCACTTCTATCAGATTGGTCCGAGTTGTGAATAAAAACTACTGACGAACTGTAGGATTTGTAAGGCTGAAACTTCACGCAAACGATGTCCAATTTGAGAGACACAAAACTGCGCAACGTGCCAGATTATTTGACCAAAAACTTATCCAAAGGATCTGATCATTTGTGGCTAGGATGGTGCAGGATTTGGAACAGCTACAGAGCCAAGTACGTTCAAGTAAAGAACGCCAGATTGACTCCGTTTATTCATGTTTGCATTGCTGCCATGGCCATTAATTATTACATGGAGTATCCCCACATTAAAGGTGAGCTTGTTTGTAGAGTCTGGTGTACATTTTTAGCTGCTTCACTGTATGTCTGGGTTGTTTACTTAACTGTATCAGGGACTTAGTATTTTCAACTGAGTTGATAACGTAAATTGGTCACCGTAAAGAGTTTAGAAGCTGGCGTTTCGAGCGAGTGATTTCCAATCGCTCTCACGAAGGGCTAATGGTCGAAGCGTTAGCTTTTAAAATCTTTACGATGGCAAATTTACGTCATCAACTCAGTTGATAATACTAAATTACCCTGTTATACTCT